TACATTTGGAGCATGCTTTTTTCCCCTCTAGAAATGCCACACACCTGCCTCAATGCAGGGAGGGACAATTTGATGGGGCCCACAGTGAAAAGGGAACAGTCCCAAGTGCAAGAGAAGTTTTACAATTGTAACCCCCAAGGAGATTGCTTGGATTCCCGGGGCTTTGTCTGCTGGCAGCTCAGGGAGAGGCACTCTGAGTTTGCCTTGGCTCCCCCTCCTTACCAGGGCCAGAGTCTGCCCGGCAACCCATGGGGAGTGAGATGCCCCTCCCAGGGGGAAGGAGAGACCATTGTTGAGGGGAGTCGGGAGCCAGCCAGGAAAAGGGGAGGACTGAGTGTGTGGGAGCTAGTAAGCCCCAGGCCTGCATGCAGGGTCCCCCCTGAGAATTAGCCTCTAGGGACCTGAAGGCAGGATCCCTCAGCTGGGTTTATGTCTCCACTGTTGATTCCCAGTTGTGGAGTTTGCTGGGAGGCTTCCCCAGCCAGGCGGAGTTGGCTCTCCAGCTCCCTGGGTGAGAGAGTCACTGCATGGTCAGCTGGGCTCTAGCAGCAAGTTCAGGGCTGCTGCCTGCTGGGTGGGTCTGGAGGCTGGCCTGGGAGGCTATAGTTTTGAATTTTGGTGCAGTTGTGTGGTCTGCATCTTGAGCCCTGCACCCCTTCGCGGTGAGGGGAAATCCTGGGACCGAAGCAGCCTGGTTCCTGCTTGAAGAGGACCCCTGTAAGAAGAGAGCAGCCCCTTTGCAGAGACTGAGTCATCTCTCAACCTGAGGCTCATTCATGGAGTGTGTGAGTGTACCAATTTTTAGTTAGTAAGTCAGGGAATTTGTTTGGGGATTTTATTACCTGCAGCCTATTAAACTGTGGAGGGATTTACTGCCTTCTCCCATTTGTGAGTCCTTTGGGCTGTACTGGACCTAGTCAGCCCCACTGCTAAACCTCTGCAGAGAAGCATTGGGTGGTCAACAGTCATCAAGGGCCCCAACAAAGTACGCGTACCAACGGGACACTAACTTCACAGTTGCAGGGCACCGGTGACCCTAAAAATAATGTTTTACCCTGTTCTGTTATAATTGTCTCCTGTTTAATATAATTGTGTTTATTATAGTGTATGTGTTTGTGTTATTTTCTGGGAGTCTCCAACTATCTGGCGAATACGTGGGGATTATCCTGGGCTAGAATTTTCCTCCCAAGCTGCCCTGGCAACCCTGCTAGGAAGGAGTGAGGGGGGTGGAGGCACCGCCAAGTCCATCAATCAGAAAGAATAAAATTGAGTAGGTGGCGGGATCCAGAAGAACCCAGACCTATCCATCCGAACCTGAAAGGAGATTGGCTCTAAAAGAAGGTAACCAGGTGGAGAGGGGGCGCTACACAATTTTACTACTTGACATAATAGGTAGTTCAGAAAAGGTAATTCTTCCCCTGGTAAGCTTCTGGTACCTATTGGTCAGCTATGGAGCAGGGCGGGGAGGTGGGGGAGAGGGATTGGGTGCAGGGAGGTGAGAGGCCTCTAGCTAGGGGTACAGGCTCTGGGATGAGTCCAGGGATGAGGGGTTTGGGTTGTAGGAAGGGAACTCTAGGCTGGGAACAAGGGATTGGGAGTGTGAAAGGGAATGTGGGCTCTGGGTGATAGTCTGGGTGTGGGAGGGGATCCAGGGCTGCAGCACAAGGGTTTGGGGGTATAAGAGATCCTTCAGGTTGGGGATGAAGGGATCAGGGTATGGGAAGGCAACCAGTTTGGAACAGAGATTTGGGGCATGGGAAGACACGCAGGGTCCAAACAGTGCATACGTAAGGTGGCTCCCAGGAAACATCCAGCAGGTTCTTGCTGTTCCTAGGTAGGGACCAGGAAGGCTCCGTGTGCTACCGGCACATGCAGGTATCAACTGCACAACTCCCATTGGTTGTGGTTCCCAGGCAATGGGAGCTGCAGAGTTGATGCTCAGGATGGAAGCAATGCATGGAGTGTCCCTGGCCTCCTCGTATGCATAGGAGCTGTAGGAACCTGTCTGCCACTTCCTGGGAGCCACATAGAGCCAGGACAAGTAGAGAGCCTGTCTTAGCCTCACTGGACTTTTAACAACCTGATCTGCAGTGCAGACTAGAGCCACCAGGATCTCTTTCCAACCAGGTATTAGGTTTGCAACCCTCCAGGATTTATTTGGAGTCTTAAGTAATTAGCATCAATCTCCCAATGACCATTGAAAGCAATCCAGGCAATTTTACATAGGATATTTTAAGAAAATGGAATTACGTTATACTGGAGGGAAAAAAATCTCCTGGAATAGCTTCAGTCAGAGTTGGCAACTTTACCAGGTATTGAAAAATCGCATGCCTGATTCCCCTAAATACACCTTTTGTCCCCTTGCAGAGAGAATGTGTGAAGTCTGTGGGACGGCTGAGTCCTGAGGCATAAATTGAGAACAGCCTACCATGCATTATGGGTTACATTGTAATTACCCCTGTAATCTCCATGCTGGAACCAATTAAGAGGACTGTAACCTAGGCAGGCGAATGAAGCAGCCACCCAGATCTCAAAGGGTAGTAAAATAGTGTGGTGAAATGCCTGGGGAAAAATGGCATAGGGCACAAATTTGCTTGCTCGCCACGACACTAAAATATTTAGTTATGGCTCCCCTCCCCTGCATTAAAATCGAATTAAAAAAAAAGAGTTATGACCTGCTGGTTAACACCACGTATCTGCCCTCATTTTACTGCTGTGTCCACATCAAGTGATTGAAGGCTAAAATCAGAAAGACAAGTGAGAAAGCCTAGAAAAACTTAAATAGTATTTCTCAGTCAAGTTCATTTTAAAAAAAAGAATAAAGTTGTGAAGAAGCCAAAGCTTTTGATAAGGTATTTTCACACACACACACACATACTCCCATGTTGCACATATTTGTAAATACAAGGTATAGGTACAATCTTATCACAGAGTATGACCCGCTTCAAAAAACAGATAAGTTAATGTTTTGGATTTCTTTTGATTCCTCACCTGTCATTCTGAGGCCTCCAATTACCTGTCTTTTTCACTTTGTAAAATCCTTGTTTTACAGTCATCATCACTTGTTTCGTTGCTGTGAATTGTGTAAATTCCAGGGCAGCTGTGCTTTCTTTATAGATTCTGAACATGGGGAGCATTCCCAATTTTGCCACTGACTCACTGTTTGACATCGGGCAATTAATTTAGTTGCCTCCATCTCTCCATAAGTAAAATGGAGAAAACACATTACGTTCTTTCATTTTAAATAAATGAAAAGCGGTGCTATGCAAATGCTAAATTTGTTTAGATTGAGTTTGAAACATTATAACTCTCCTCTCACTCATCATATTTCTCAGATCTAAAGACTATAAAGAAATTTTAAAATAGATATTATAGGTAGAATGAAGGTTGCACAATGCTTGTTTTCAGTTATTTATAATTTTGCAAAACTTTTTTTTCCCATCAGAATCTAAAATAATCCTTGTTTATATTCTACATCAACAATTTTTTTCAGTCAAACCTTGATATGGAACCAGATTTCAGCTGTGAGTAGCTGAAGAAGTATAATATAAACATACGTGAAAAAATGCACCGTATGTTTAGAATAGTGTCTTCACAGTGCCTATTTAAATGTTGCCAGTTTTTAGGCCTAAAGACTTTTCTGCAGCCCTGTAAGCTGTAAGCTGAAATTAATCAGAAGAGATAAATGTGATAAGCACAGAAACAATGTAGCTGAATTTTATGGAAAATAAGCAGATGCTCAGAAGTAGAACTGCTTACTGGTTCTTCATATTCAGGGATTATGGGGATGGGGAGAAATTAGTATTTGTCCAAACCTTTAATTATTTGCCTAGCAGCTAGTATCCAAAGGTCACATCATTCATACCGCTGGGAAAAAACCACCACAAGGTCCTTTGGGGAAGAAATAAACGGTATAAGGTTCCCCATGCAGATTTCTCTCTGAATCATTTGCCTCTCATGGATCTGATCCCTGTGGAATGAGCCCACTGATCACCTGAGATTTGTCAGCTGTGAAAGGCCTTCCATGAAGAAGACCTGTATCTCCACATTGACTCCAGGTTAGCACTAGGGTTGTGAGATGGTTGATACAAAAATACTAAACACCCTCCCCACCCCCAAAAAAAATACCGGGAAAAAATTCTGTTGAAGGAGAAAAAAAGGGGGGAGGGACACCAAAGTTATTGAGCAAAAAAAATAAAATTAAAATAAAACAGCATTAAAACAGCATGTCCAGCATTAAAACAGCAAATAAAACAGCATTTAACAGCATTAAAACTTTAAGAGTGAATGCAGGGATAGGCACTGGGGAGCGGTTGAGCACTGAGACCCAGGGGCAGCATTGCTTCCCCTTGGTCAGCAGCCATTTTGTGCCTGCAGCCTTGTGGAACTAGGTAAGCATGAGGGAGGGGGGTGTTGGGAGCCAGAGGGGTTTTGGGGGAGGAAAGCCAGGCACTGAGTGTTTGTAGGGTTGTCAGGTGCCCGGCATTTTCACCTCCTGGCTGGGGGAAAAATCAGAAAATACCAGGCATTTGAGGTGTCCGGTATTCTCTGAATTTTTTTACTGGACAGGAGGCGAAAATACCGGACTGTCCAGGTGGATACTGGACACCTGGCAACCCTAGTTAGCACTGACCTCTCTGCACACAGGTCCTTAGGTCTAGAGAAGGCTGTCCATAGATACATGTTACAAACAGCAGGCATGAGAAAAGACTGTGCTATGGAGGCAGGGGTGCTGACATGACTGCTGGGCCCTTGGGCAAGGTGGGGGAATCCTGCTCCATGCTCCCAGAAGAGATGGGGCCTCAGGCAGAAGGAGTGGCAGAGCATGCTGAAC